AATCTTTAAACCGGAAATACCCTTAACTTTCTTCGGCATTGTAACTGTTAAAGTCCCATCTTCTTCATTAAACCTCGCTTTAATCTTGTCAAGATTGACAATTTCTGGAATCCGAAACACTTTCTTGAACTCCTTTATTTCTGTTTCCTTCTTCCATTCCACCCATTTTATCAAAACCATTTCTTCTACTTGTTTCCTTCCGCTTATCTTAATCCGATTCCCTTCTTCGTTTATCTCGATATCTATACCTTCCTTCTTAAATCCTGCATTCAGTTTTCATTCTCAGTCACACGCAAAATGCGCAAACAAAAAAAGGAGAAAACTTTAAATGTCTATGAGAGGAGGAGAAATGTTTACTATGATGAACCTTTGAGATGAAGAATGAGGAAGAAGACAGAATCGGTTTCTCGAGAAAGCGAGAGATGACCAAAAGAATCTCTTGAAACACGGAAATCTGTAGAGGAAGATACATCGTCTCTTGTTCGAGTGATCTTCAGTCCTAATTCAAGCTCCATAATTTTTTGTTGTTTCTTCTTCTTTAGCTAATTCAAGCTCCATTTCATATGTTTTTTTTCTTTGAAGAGCCCCACACAAGAATATATTCGTTACTTCCTCATTCAGGAAACTCAAAAAACTTAAGTCTTGAGTTTGTCTTTTGTGGTACTTTCAACGGTTTTTACTACTTTCTAACTGTCCCCAGTTGCGTTGGCGGGAAGTAACTGCTATCTTTATATATTACTTCTTTTGTTTCTCTGAGGGTTCGGTGAGAAATGGTGTGTTTGGGCACAGTGTTATCCGTGTTTGTGTTTTATGTGGGCCCGGAATAAATAAAAAGATACCGTGCACTCGACCGTAGTGGATTACGACCACCTTTATCATCTTTCCCCTTTTGTCAAAATCGAGTTTTTCCACAAAGTTCGGATTTTTATTTCATTTTTGAATCAAAAGATTATCGTTTTTTCTCTTCTTCAATGGCGGCGATTTCTCTGTCGTCGTATACAATTCCATCTCTGAGTTCGAAAGAATCATTATCTAATGTTTCTGCTTTCGCTTATCGTTCTAAGACCACCGTCAAATTCCAGTTTCCAGCTCGTCGGATTCGAACCGGAGACTTGAAGTTTTCGTCTTTATCTTCTTCAAGAACTCGATTCACTCCTCCCGCTGTAAAAAAACGCCTTCTTTGCTCTAAGCTTGTATTCAAATGCTTTTTATAGGTTAAAAAATTTAGGTTTTGTGTTGGTTATAACTTCAGTGAACTATTATTCTGAATTTAAGCTTGTAGAATTTTAGAGAATGGGTCGTTAAGAGCTATTGATTATGTTGGAAATGACACATTTTTAGTTCGAATTTGATTTGGGATGAGCTTAAAGTGACTTCCTTTACCTACTTGTCGATTTAGCTTTGAGCTGATTGACGAACATGTGTTATTGTTACTTCAGATTGAAGCCAAGAAGCAGACTTTTAACTCGTTGGAGGATCTTCTTGTGAACTCTGATAAGCCAGTTTTGGTTGACTTTTATGCGACTTGGTGAGTCCATTTTTCTCACTAGTTTCAAGATAACATGTGTTTAGCTACCTACATTCTTCACCTTATAAAGACTGTTTAACCATGAAATGAGTAATACTATAATGCTTGGTGTAGTTTTTGGGGATCCAGTGTAGTCTGTTTGTGTATTGAGTAGATTCAGAGTTTAAATCTGGAAAGTGATTGAATTCAGAATGTTATGTTTGTTTTGGCAGGTGTGGCCCCTGTCAGGTCATGGTTCCAATACTCAATGAAGTGAGTGCAAACTTGAAAGACAAGATCCAAGTGGTGAAGATCGATACAGAGAAATACCCGAGTATTGCTAATCAATACAAGATTGAGGCACTTCCTACATTTATCCTGTTCAAAGATGGGGAGCCTTGTGATCGCTTTGTATGATTAGTTTTCCTTTTCCATGTCTTTTTTATAATACCTTTGGTTTCTGTAATTACAAGATTGAGGTTCTGAATCTTGCTCATAAACGTTTTCTTTCCTTTTGACTTACAGGAGGGTGCTTTGGCTGCTAATCAACTCATCCAACGAATCGAGAATTCTCTGGAAGTTAAGAAGCCATAAGTTATGGATCATGATCTCTTTTACTTTATTGGTATGTTTTCCTGTGATTGTTCATTGATTTAACAAAGAGAATATATGAAAAACACAAGAGTCAGATTTGCAAAACGTTGGATTTTTTTTTATTATAAAGTGGTAACAGAAGAAGCATCCTCCTCCAACTACATTAGATTCTTAGACAAAAGAAAATAACATAAGCAGGAGTGTAACGGATTCAAGGGTTAGAAGAAGATCTAACAACGGACAAAGACAGTGGTGAAGAGGCAAGAG